TAGTACCTTAAATAAACTGGACATCGTTTCGTTCTCGAAGGGATAAGAAGAGATGCCCATAAGTAAAGTGGATGTTGTACTTAATAACATCCACTTTACACCATTATGAGGTTTATACAGACATAATTATGTAGAAGTATATTCCCCATGTACTGGATATAGTTCACCACAGGAAAGACAGACACAGTGGTCACGTACTACCGTGGACAGTAAGGTTCATTGGAGATGCATGTCTCCCTAGGGATGTGCCGCAACAGACATTGTACCATGGGGGTTCCGGAGTAGGTCTATTAAAGGCCCAAGTGCCTTCTGTAGGTAACAATGATGGCCACTAGGTCGGTTTTAGTGAGGAGAGAATCCCACATACCCTACCCGTTTTCCGCAAAAAACAAGGTGCCTTTTGAAGGTTTCCCCTCGTCATCCAAAAGAAAGACATTGTTCAATTAATGAATGTATCGAAAATACGAAAAAATAAAACGATAATGCGTAGCATGCACATGCACATTCCATCATTAAGTAATGGGAAAGTTTAAAGAGTTGTCGGTGTGTTTGTTTCCCACAAGAACGAGAGTTTTCCCAGTATTGTATTGTTGTCGATAACATGCGTGTGTTGTACGTCAGTCTGGAAAGAAGTAGTATTTGTTTACTTTCACATAATTCATTGTTTCCAGGTACTAATAACATCGGATGGTAGGAATCACAACACATTCTAGATTTGGACAGAATGTCGGATAGATAAATAGGTCACAACTAGGAAAATAAAATTTCAGTAGTAGCACGGAGTCTGGAATTGTGACCTACATAAATAGTGAAAAGTGGGTATTACATTGTACAGTGGCATTAAGTGCTGTAATGTGCACCCTTCGGGGATGGAAGGCGTGATCTATAGTCTTAAGTTCTAGTTTGTACAGTTATCAGAAAATAAAATAATATAAATTAAATTATTAACTCAAAACAGAAACAAGTAACAGTTTCACAAAAAAATAAGTGCTATCTTAAAAAAAGTATAAAATAGCCATCCCATGTCAATCCACCGTAAAAAGCTTCATCATGTATAAAAAAATATAATCGGCAAACAATCTTCATCCACGTAAACAATTACGTATCAAACGCCAATCATAAAAACACAACAATAAGTGATTCAATCGTTCAAATCACATTTTTTATACAACTACTACCATGGGCTAATCCTACCATATTTATTTCACACTTCACTCTTATATTCACAAGCTATCTTGAACCTTGTGACAAAGGACTAAGGTCGGATAGTTAATTTGTTGTAAGTCAATATGAGTTGGTTTAACTTAACCGTTAGTCGAGTCTTGGTACTAGTGCTTACTAACCTTGGAGGAGGTCGTTGAACCTATGTTCATAGGAACAAAGCATGGCGCGATTCTATAAAGGGTTTTATACCATACTATCCTATTAAAATTATAAGTGTATAAATGTTTGTTGGTATTTCGCGCCAAAATTGCTGAACGGATCTGAACGCAATCTTCCAAGTATGGAGATAGACTATAGCAGAAGCTAGTTACTCTTTATTTTGTAGATTAAAAGGACAGTGAAATCTTTTGAGACAAAATAAGGTACATTTTACTATAACAGACGTTGTCCTGCATATCCACTTGAATGTATAAACAAAAATTCATTCAAATTAGTTCAGCTGTTTAGGATAAATAACCTAAACATCGACTGCAGCGCCATCTGCCGGGCTGATTTGTGAATCTAAACCATTCCCAGATCCCCTTGAACACAGACACAAAATTTCATCAAAATCGGTCCAGTCGTTTGAGAGAAGTTCAGTGACATACACACTCACAGATGAATTATATATAAAAAGATGTAACTTTTACTATATATATATTTGAAAATATAAAAGTACAAGAAATAAACAAACACTGAAAAAACGTGTTGTGATTTTTTAAGACATTGGCTGCACGGTTGGTGCTGTGGCTGGGCAACCGGCTGCCGTGCAACGTGTCGCGGGTTCGATTCCGCACGGAACAACACTTTGTGTGATCCACAATTTGTTGTTTCTCATCTGGGCGTCTTTGTGTATGTGAACTTGTATGTTTGTAAACGCACCCACGTCACAGGAGAAAAACCAAATGTGGGGCAACGTTTATTTAAAAAAAAAACATATAACCTAGTCTAAAGTAATACTTTTAACGTTCAGACTAAAGACAAAAAAGCGTGACTAATCTAACAGGTATCCTATATAATAAAACATTGTGTTACCATCATCAGTTAAACTTCAATACTATAACAGTTAACAGTCAATAGACGATGCAGTCGCTGTTAGTCCACGTTAAACTGAACTTGTATGCAATCGCTCTATAGCAGGATACCGCTTCCCTTAGCATAACTGTACTCTTCCTTTCCGTTTGTCGATAATGCGAAACTTGTTTACGTTCATAGCTAAGACCACATAGTTAATACAGTAACTTATCGAGTAATCCTGAACAGAAGTGTTTAATACGCATAATATTGAAAATAGACGACTGTCTCGTTGGCCGAGTGATCGCAAGCGCGGCTGCTAGGCAAAGGTTTTCAGGTACGATTTCCGGGTAGGCCAAAATATTACTGAGTTTTCTAAAAAATGCTCAGTAGTAGCACGGAGTCTGGATATATGCCCGGTATATCAGTCTTATTTATTTCTATTTAAATTACTTTAAAAAAATATTAATACAATTAAATAAATAAATAAATAAAATTTTTATTCATAATAACAGTGGTCAACATAGGTACAAAAATATATCTTAATTAAACGACAAGATCTTAAAAATATTATGCCTATACTAGGAATATTCCTGTGTCACAGGCGATAGTAGCTCTAAAAATATGTTAATGTAAGATAACTTATTTATAGTATATTTAAAATATTTAACACAATTTGCAGAAGTAAGGTTGGATTTTTTAATATACTACACTACATACATATACATATAATATCACGTTTTTTATTCCCTGAAGGAGAATAAAAAGTTAACCTACATAATACAATATGGCAATAGGCTCACGCCCTCTTACATGGGACTCAACATTAATAGTGAAAAGTGGGTACTACATTGTACAGTGCCATTAAGTGCCGCAATGTGCACCTCTGCCTACCTTTTCGGGGATAAGAGGTTGACATTTCACAAAGTCCGTAAACCACGCGAGCGAAGCCGCGGACATCAGTTAGAGTTTAATATACGTAATCAAAAAATAGGGGGTATATTTTTTATTAACAAATATCTATGACGTAATTTGTTCAATATGGGAGTAAAGACATGAGCCTATTGCCATACATTGTGCCAGTGTGCACATAAGGAGATTCTGTGCTGATGTAAGAATTTTCGGAGAACCCTAAAATAGTCTATAATATTATTTGCTCGACCCGAGGAGGAGGAGGATCAAACCAAACAAAGGAGTCTCCCCTTGTAAATGCAACTATGTAACTAGGGAAATGCAACTGGCCCTGGGTGCTTACCCTTGAAACTAATCTTAATGTTAATGTAGATAATTTCAATCCAATAAAATCTCAATAAATATTCAATGGCAAAACTATACAACGCCTATCGTAGTTGTTAAAATTGCATTCAGAGTACGGACTATAAAGCTAAACTTAACACCGTATATTTCATTAAATATCCACGCAACTCAAGATTACGAAATTTTACAATAGGTACCAATGTCGATCGATCTGAATTGGATTCAAGAGTAAGCCCCCTGATCCCAATTGCATTTCATCTTAAACAACTATTAAAAGTCTACTTTAAATAAAAAAAATAACAAACACATAATTTCTAACCCCTCACATACACCACTAAACCATTTTATACAACAATACCCCACAGAATTCTTTAAAGTCTTCCTATTCAAACATATTCGTTGAAGCTCACAGCAAACCATTGGAAAAAATACTCTTTAAAATCTTTTCCCGCGGCTCATTTCTTAAAGGATTTTTTATTGCTTCGTAGTTTCCAAAGGCAAATACTGTCCTTTATTTACAAAGGAAATCGAACTCAATAGTATTTGAAATGAGCAATATATAATAATCAATAATGTGGGTGTTAAATTGAAAGAGGTATTAAATCATTTTGTAAAGTTCGACTGTTTTATTTGTAGTTCTGTGGAGCAAAGAAACGGAACCATGAGCGTTTATAACAAGATTCTATTTACAAAAAAATATCATATTTTAAATGTGCCTAAATTGCCTGTTATACGATATACGTTATCAGTTAATAAAATACTTGGTATTGGAAAATATTGAACAACAAATGAATAGGAAAAATACGCTACTGGCTGTTTTTTTGCTCTCTAATTTATATCCCGTTTCACTGACCGAATCAAAAACACAAAATCTATACTACTTAAAGACTGAACTATTTCGTTCCTTTAAGAAAATAACAATATGTTCCCCAACTTATTTACCTATGTCCAGACTTCTAATGAGATATTAAGCATGGGCTTTGTATAATAAAAGTACAGACCGACTTCGAAATCGATTTATTTTAATAGGGCAAGACGTCGCGTCAATGGACTTTAATATTGCAGGACAGATTACAGTTGAAGTTTTAAACTTTCAATTCATTTGAAAAGTAGCTACTTGTATTGAAAATATCAAGAAACTGTATTCAGGTCACATCAGTCGATACTTTGCGAACTTTGCTTTATCTACAATTTATAAGAAAGTATTCATTTATACTTTGTGCCTCAATTTTAATACTTACAATAACGTGGTGCGACCATAGTTTCGAGATAAAAAAAAAATAGTTTCCATGTAACAAGTACATGAGGACCTATTCATATTATGATCTCCGTGTACACTCCGAGAACAATCATGGATATAATTCAAGATGCCTGCTAAACGAATATCCAACGAGAACAAGCGACGAATGTAATAGACAAAGTGAATACGATTCTTAACGTTTCTAAAACCTCAAACAAGGCATCCATACATTGAAAAAACACAATAGAATGTACCAAGATTAACGTTAAACTTCACTTGTTTCCAGACATGTTACGAGATGGAGAGGTATTTGCGAGAGGAGCCAAACAAGCGTCGCGAACCTGGCCAGGAGGAGGAGTGGGCTCGGCCTCCCACACCGCCCTCCCCGCCAGAGGTCAAGCCGTCGTTGTCTCCTCTGCCAATACTTACCAAGGCTCCGAGCACTACTACCACCACGCACTTCACTTTCTTCACCACTGTGAAGTGTGAGCCACCGAGCGACTCCGAGGAGCCCATGCGGGGTAAGTTGCGAATGTACTAGTCCTTAAACGTTATTGACAGGTTCACGGGGAATTATATCAACCAAATCTTAGAAAGATGAAACTTTGGTGATCTCAAATCTCCATGTAAATTCATGCAAATTTTAAATAATCTCCTAACTAAACATTGCTATTATTACACCAAAAATCTTAACTAGAGCTTGTTTTATTTATTCTGATCATTTGTGTAACGTGGATTGCGTAATGTTTCAGAGCAAACTCCCAGCCCGGTGCCGGTGCAGCTGCTGGTACCTCGCAAGGTGCAAGTGACCAGGCATCACGGTCATACTCACACCACCGACCCTCGCCGTCGCGTGCACCGCTGCGAGTTTCCATCTTGCGACAAGGTCTACACCAAGAGCTCTCATCTGAAGGCGCACAAGCGCACTCATACTGGTTAGTATCTTTACCCTTCAATACTTGCTTACATGTATAATGTAAAGTATTAAAAGAAAAAGTCTAAGGTATCGCTTATCTATCTCAAAGACGCTTGCGTTGGGTTTCACTGCGTGTGTGAGTTTACCGGATAACGTACTAGTATCTTCTGTTGTTGCGAGTGTCGATAGGCAGCGTCGATTGCCGCTGCATCCCATAAAATACTCATCTGACTGAATGCCCTAACAATTGATAAAGTATCGAAGTCAATGCTCTATGATTTAAAGTCCCTTGGATGGGGGCCGCACTGTCTCGTGAGTTTCCGTTCCCGTCAATCAAATATGCGACCACTATAATGCGACTTAATATCAAATAAAACGGGTCATGATTCATACGTCCAATGTCTACCAATTGTACGCACAAGAAACTAAGAAGTGACCATAGGCGCTAAGCAAAAATGAGAATAAGTGAAATGACCGTACTTCGCGCCTGGTTTCTTCCTTCATCAATAAAATTTTGTGCTAATATAATAAGTATGGTTATTCAAAAAGGAGTAAGTATGTCACAACACAATGAAATGTTCACATTAATCATCATCATCGTATCAACCATAAGATTTGCACTGTTGAACATAAAAAGTCCACTGAATGACTTCAGTAGGTACGCTAGCGAAATACTCGTATATTGTGCCCACTACCAACTACCGACTAAATAAACCCGCCTGGCAAAACTGTATTCTAAGGCAATGGCGTCTTCATAACTGCATTACAAATTAACTATGTGTAATAGCTCATGTACAGGATGCCGCCGCCGCCACGCTGACGCCACATCGTTACCGCACCGCAGACGCGCCGCTATGCCGTCGACACACCGCAACCGCACCGCCACCGCACCGCAGCCGCGCTGCTATATTGTGTATAGGTTCACCACCGCACCCGCGCACCGTCAACCCACCGCCATGTACCACGTTCGTGCCGCTTGAATTTACTACACAACAACACACAAGAACTCTTTCTTCGTAGCTAACAATGTATTACTAACAACTGTGTTGTATGGTAAAATCAAGTGGTATCCTGGACTCGTTGGCGGTGCGGTGGTGATGCGCAGGTCAGTGACGTAGCAATCGTATACTCAGCATAGCAGCGCGGCGACGGCGGTGCGTGTGACGGTGCCGTAGTGGACGTATGACGTGGACGCGGCAGCGGAGCGGTGGCCGCGTGGCGGCAGTGGCACCGGCGTCGTCGTGTACACGAGCCCTATAGTTCAAAACCTAAAGTTCTGATGCCCCGTCCACACGCTTGATTTTTGCCATAAATAGGTAGCAAAAACAATATAAATTTCCAACAATGATGTGTAGCAAGTGTGTGTCCAAATCGCAAATAATTTGCCGAACAGCCTTTTATCTGTGTTTGTGTTCGACACTGCCCGACACCGATGCGGGACAGTGGCGAACACTAATAAGAACAGACACACACTTAGAAACACCCATCCACGTGTTCCTGTTTACTGTTTGCCAAGCGTGTGGACCCGTCATCACAATGAGATAAAATATCATTTCGATTCTCGCATAAATTCCAACACAAAAACTGTTACAAAAATCTAGAACAATGCAGTATTAGCTAACTCTAACCATAATATTCACAGAGAAGGATACTGTTTTTATAAAAATTCAAAATACAGTACAATAAACAGCACGTAATTTATTTTTACGCCATCTACAAGTCCATGTAGAAAATTGCAAGGCGACTCTGTAGTACAGACGGCAATATGTACTAAATTGCGAACAGCGCCATCTATCATGAGAGCGTTTCATTTACTTAGGCACCCTAGGTCTCGTTTGTAATCTGTAGGAACAAGAAAGCACTAGATGGCGCTGTATGGCGTCATAAGTTTGAGTCACTGCTAGCGACGGTAATATTATTGTTAAATTAGTATTCAGTATCAAATATCCAGTAAGAAACGAATTTTAACCATGATTTAATGTTTTATAATTTAGTTCATAGTTTAGGTCACCTCAAATAATTCTGAATTTAGCTCTATCTAGCCAACTAGCGCTGAACTAGTGAAGTTCACTGTTTAACGTTCCAAGCCTGTTCAGAGCAAAACTACTAGATGGCGCTGTCTTAAATATTAGCAAAGTTAACAGGGAAAATTATATATTTTTATTTGATACTAGCTTCTGCCAGCGGCTTCGCCCGTGATCCTAGGGGGAAAATGCCAATGTATTACTTCACACCATATTCTACCTCTGTTCCGAATTTCACACCGGTCCCTTCAGTCGTTTTAATATGACTGAGTAACAAACATTAAACCTGCACACGCGACGAAAGCTTAAAAATGGAGTAACTTCTCCCGTTTTCCCAATATTTCCCTTCACTGCTCTGCTCCTATTGATCGTAGTGTAATGAAAAGTATACTATAACCTGCCCAAGAGTATGAAGAATAATTGTGCTAAATTTCGTTAAAATCTGTCGAGTAGTTTTTGTTTCCATAACGAACATACAGACAGACAGACAGACAGACAAAAATTTTACTGATTGCATTTTTGGCATCAGTAGCGATCCCTAACCACCCCTTGATAGTTATTTTTTAAATATATTTTATGTACAGAATTGACCTCTCTACAGATTTATTATAAGTATAGATAAAGTCGATTAAAAATGTAATAAATGTTGAAATAGACAGATAACATTTTAAAACACAACAAATACACAGATAATACAAAAATAGCGACATAAAATGAACTGTGAGCCAGATAATATTCCTCACGATAAACTCGTCAAAAGAATGGCCTCAGAGAGTTACTTTTACCTGTATAAAGTCTAGTAAACGTTGTCTGCTGTATCGTAGAGAGGGCAGCACCTACCTTTTTGTTCGTAAAATAAAGTTATCACACACTATAAGCAAAATTAATGCAAGTCAATAGAAACACGACATTTTACATGGTACTGCGAATGAATACATATTTTAACAAATTGAAGGTTGTGAGGGGAACAGTCTTCGGCTGTTTACATACACCTGGAGAGCTTCCCTCGGCCTAATATTGATTGTTTGATTACTAACGAAATTATATTGTAAATTACCTAATTATATTTCATACAAAAATTACGTGTTTTGTAGCAGTACTCTCATGAAACAAGTTACTAGACTTGCAAGACACAGTAATTTTGACATGAACAGGCTGTGTAGGTATTTATCACCTTTATATTTTTATGTTTCATGAGACATATTAAATTAATTGTGTCTTACATACGTAACAATTTGACGAGATAACTGGACGTGTTTCGACGTGTTGCATTTCATGACAAACGACAGGGCGAGCGTCCATAGGCGGGCGACACCCACCGTGTCGTTTGTCGTGCAAATGTGCTTATGGTTACGAGCTTCAACGTGGCTTGAAACAAGTCGAGTTACGGCGACAGACATTTACGCAGTCTACTAAATTAGACTACTAATTTTATGTACAGTCAAAAAAGTATTCACCGCCTCATCACACTACAGATTTAGGAGCAGAGACTGCGACGCGGGGCGGACGTGCAACGAATGTGAGCAGACGGGGATTCCTCGTCGGAAACCATATTGTTACTGGGTGTATTTTACGTCCATAATTTGCCACTCGTCCACGTAGTACTTACTGTCCGCCGACCCCGCCTCGTAGTCGCTCGTCGTCGTCGCTCCGAAGTACACAAATCCACATATTTTTGTAGCAAATTATCGACATACAATACAGTCAGCAACACGCGACGAAAACGTCACGTATTTGGCATGCGCCCGCTCTGCCCCGCAGCTGCCCCTAAGCCGCTAATATGATAATGCCTTAAGGGCTCGTTTACGCACCACTCGGAGGACACAGTGGAGCATACGGTGGCTGAGCACCGCTGTGTCCTCAGAGATGTGATTGGCGATGGTAACGTCATGCATCTGGGTATGGCTCTGGTTCAGGCCATGGCTCGGAGCGAGAGAGAATGGGAGGCTACCTCCTCCATCTGAGAAGCAGTCATTTAGCTAAGGAGGAGGTGGAGCTCGTGAGGGAACGATCCTCACGCCCCAGCCGCCATATGAGACACTCTAGGCGTCCGACATTGCGCTACGATCTCCGGCCAGTGAAGTACAGGTCTGTTGACGGCGAACTACCCTTACTCGCCGTCAGAAGAAAACCAGCCCCGTGCGAACAGCGCGTTGTATTCCACGCGCGCCTCAAAGAGCCACGCTGCCAATATTGCTGATGCGGGACCCTGAGCTGCGGACAACCTAACGAGTGACAAGGCTCCCACGGTAATATTATCATAATATTACCGTGCTCCAACTCAGCAGGAGTAGGAACGGGATGGGTTTTAGTCACTAGGAGTCTGACACTCTCTCGCTTCACTCAAGGCAGGAGAAGTCATTGAATGATTTTAGTCCCTCAAAAAAAGGGCTCGTGTGTACAACACCACCACCGGGCCACCGCTGCACCGCTACCGTCTCTGTACTACTAGTAATACATTGCAAGCTGCAAAGAGAAGGTTCTTTGCAGTTGGTCATTTGTAGTAAAAACAATGGCCGTTGCGCAGCGGCATCGTCGTGTACACGAGCCCTAACAGTGTGTACTACCACTAGTAATTAGTCGAACATTCGCATTGATTGCAATTTTGTTTTATAAATGCGCATGCAGATATTAGGATCTTATTAGTGAATTGCGAGCGTCTTCAAAGTGGAACGGACGCGCGTTGTATTCGTTGCTCATCCACTAGTATGTTATGGTTCTTAGTGGATGGAATATGATTTTGCTAGTATGCTCGTGACTAGTCTGTGCTACATTGTTTTGGAAAGGACAGTGACCTATTTCAGAGAAGTAGTAACCTATTCCAGTCTGTCAAAATTTTACTATAGATTTTCCTCTTTACTGCTAAGTACATAAAGTTGACGATCTATAAAAAATGGAAACAAAAGTAATGTTTAAGATTCCTGGTCCGCTCTGGGATGTCAAACGCTTTTTCTTCCTTGTTTCGTTTTTTTTTTTCATTAACATGTTTCTCACGTGTCGTGTATGCAAGTGAAAATATAATTATGAACGTAATTATACTTTCATTTACACATTGCACTTAAGGTGCTCCCTCACCGGGAGCATCCGCGTGTAATGTAACGTTACAGGTCTGAGCATTACATCAGTGAAGGAGGAGAACCGAGCATTACAATGCGCACCTTGTAATGTTACAATGTGTAATATCTTGATACAACTTGTAACATCAATATTCAAGGTTGAATCAATATGTTACATTATACGCAAATGCTCGTTAGTCAGAGAGGTATTATTGAAATGTAATGCTCAAAGTTGAATCTATAGTGTTACATTACACGTGAGTGCTCCTGGTGAGTGAGCACCTTTAGACTCAGAACCACTATATAAGGATTATACAATTTTGTTCCTTGTGATAATCGAACCCTCTTCGAACTTCGAACGTAACGCAGCAGCCAGTTGACAATCCACTGCGCCAAGCATGCTACATGAACTAACAATTTTCTTTTTATATTCGCAAAGCGGCTGGATACCTACTAATGGTACCACATCACAGATAACATTCACAAAGTATTTAGACAATTACTCATACAATTACTAATTACTGATACTAGACATAGCTTATACCATTTATAGCTGGCTCACAGTTTAAACACACATAAAAATCATAACTAAGAAAACGAAGTAAATAGTCCACTTAGAAATCATACAATATATATTTAAACACACATTTACTAGATAGGATAGGATAGGCAGCATGCACACAAATAAATAACTCATAGTATAATAAAGGGTATCTGATATTTGGTTGGTATCATTGCTCGCGAATATTAACTCGTCAAGTACCGTCATTATAGAGGTAGACACAATTATAGAACAATAGGTTGCGGTCACCGGTGACCGCTTGGTGTTTGACAGTTTAAGGTTAGACTGGTAGAAAATACCAGCGGTATTAAGTCCACCCATGTGCTTGTTTGTGTGCATAAAGATCTTTTTAAATAAATAAATATTAATAAGATATTTGTCTTTACGGTTCCGTACTCATTGGAATTGAAGTTTCAAGCGTTTTAGTATTCCTCAATATTGATTAGTTTTTATAATGTAACAATTTATTGAATGTTATGGTCATGTTGCTTATCGGTGTTTGTCGTTGATTTCAGGCGAGAAGCCGTACAAGTGCTCCTGGGAGGGCTGCGAGTGGCGTTTCGCCCGGTCTGATGAGCTGACGCGGCACTACCGCAAGCACACTGGCGCCAAGCCCTTCCGCTGCCGCCACTGCGAGCGCTGCTTCTCTCGCTCCGACCACCTGGCGCTGCACGCCAAGCGTCACGCGTAGCCCGCGGCCCCCGTCGTCCGCGCGCCGCCACGGAAACGCAAATAAACCGCGCGCGCATTTTTTATTATTTACAAGTTATTTTTAGTGGTTCCGTTTATAGGTTGTCGTGAGTTGTGAACACGGAATTGATTGTGATGCGCGCTGCTCCATACAGCGTCAAGCCAAAGAATGCCGCTACATCGTAGCCGAGTCAACACTCATTGCACCTAATGCTTTAAGGTTATTTTTTTAAGTTTATCGAGTTTTTATTCGGGAAAAATCTCTTTAATGTTTCGGCAATTATCGTTACGGTTCTTTGTTGCTAAGAGTTCGATTTATAGCCGTTGTGTATTATGTAATTTTGTGAGCTTTGTGTATTATGGCGTCGTCGCCTAGCGATAGCGCGTGTGTGCCATGAGTGGGGGGCGCGCGTCCCCCCACATGCATTTCATTTGCGGTCATATTATTTATTGGGGAGTTCGGCTAATGATCCCACCGACGCCGAGCACGACCTTTATTATTTTAGGCTTAGTGCGTCGCGTTACCTGATGTCAGTCGGCGGCGCGAACCACTCGACGGCCGCACTGCGAGCACGCAGCCCAGAGTCAGCACCGCTCGCACGCTCGGTTCGCTCGACTGGTTCGCGGCTCCGGCGCAGATTCGTGTTTATTTTGTATAATTCGTATTATATTCATTAGGTTAAGCTTTCTCTTTATTCTTTCATTCCGATATTTTGCGGTTAGCTGGCCTTTATTTCGTTAGTAGTGCGAATTATTATTGTGCACACTATTTGATTTCGGTGTGCCGGTACACACATAGCGTCGAGTAACAATTTTAGCCTGTAGGGAGGATAACATCTATAGTACATATTCTTTTTATTTTTTAAAAAGACGCTACGTGTGTAGGGCCTTGTTGATTCTGGAGGAGACGAGTGCATTCGGCTGCGAGTTACGTGTGTTCAGTCTTGATCTCAGTAATATCCAAGAACAGCACTTATTGACTCGCAGCCGAGGCATCTCGCCGCCGGTCGGAACACAGTCGCTATTATTTAAGTCCATAATGAATATTTAAAGACTGGTCTCGGACACTACGTCCATCACTATACCAGCCTACGCCCTAGTAGCACAGCACACTCGCGACAAACTTCCTCATCTTGTAAAGTTGTGTCACCCACCGAGGGTGCTACGCTACTACGGTATCTATAACCACCACCATAAATCGTATCTTTATATTTGAACAAGTATTTTTCATTATATTTTTTATTAAATTATTAAACTTTAAGTAAGTCATGTAATCATCACAATGAAGTAAATTAAGTTACCAGAAGCACTTTTTACTGGACTCAACGACACACAGCATTAATAGACATCTCTGCCGAGTCACTAACACAAGTTGTGAAAGTAAGGAGACTGCTAAGTGGGGGGTAAGAGTGACCAACGACTGTATACTATATTGAACTGCCATTGAGATCCTGCGCAGTGTCGTTGACATGTCAGTAACTGTGCATTTTACTTACATACCTCCCGGGGCCAATTATTTAGTCTTCCCTTTCGATAAGTTCTACAAGCAACAGTATACTGTGCATCATTGCGGAGCGACACGCGCACGACACGACACCACAATGATCATTAAATATTAATAAATTATAAGACAATACCAATTGTAATATAGTCAAACTTTAAATCTAACACGACTGAATTAAAGAAATAATAAAACTTTGAGAGAGAATAAACAAATAGATCTGATATCTGATACTTTTGGTTTTGGTTGGATTATAAATAGAATGATAAATAAAATGTAGTTGTGATGCATCACGCTTATGGTTGCGAACAAAATTAGCTTAAGATTTGTGATGAGCCTTATTTTACTGATTTACATGATATTTGAATTAAGAAAACTATTGGTTCGGTCAGTGCGCGTGTGCTCTGTAACTCACAAACATGTTCCCATGTCATACATTTGCACTTTTACACAGTACGATATACAAATCGTCCAAAGACTTCGAGGTGAGGAGAGAAAATACTGAATCGGCCATAAAGAGATAACTACACTTCTCGTTACTCCCTGAATAACGTTATTCCTTGTATTTTGAATCGTTATTCCGTAGCGGTACGAGCAGCATTTCTCAATATTCTCATATTTGCATCCGTCAAACTTCAGTGCGTTTAGCCACTCTTAGTTCATGATGCCATCTTTAAACGATGATATGAACTTTGCCTTGGCTTTCAAAACTCATAATAGAGCGTCTTCACTAAAACGATATTTCCAAATTTAATAAGCGAATCTCTCATCCACTCTTTGAGTCTGAGGACATGCTGTATATCGTGGTCCCATGTACTTGTACAGTCACGGTTAAAACATATTCGTCATTAGTTCTCTTTTTAAAATATATTAGGTAGGTACATGTATAGTGTTTAAGTACACGATGCCTCCAGAAATGCAAACAAACCACTCTTTAAGTGTGATACAGTTAGGAAGGGACATAAGAACTAATTGTTGTGAATATAAAGGCTAGTTGGGCAGTGTAATAAAATATATTAATCCTTAAAATTGGTGTCTAAATACAAAATAAAAAAAAATAAAAACCAAAAAAAAATAACATGATGAAGAACTTTGTACTGTGACTGTACTTTTATTTTTTATCAAAACAAAATTATTAATTATATTATAATTATATACACGTGTTATTTTTGGCAATATTACAAAGTTTATTCGGAAAAATCTCAATCACATAATTATTTTTATTTATATTTTTCGTTGAAAGTTAAAAAGTTAATATTTTATAATTTTCGCATCGTTTGTCAACTGTCAAAATGGTTATTATTAAAAACGTCATTACTGTTTTGTTTTGACAGTGGACAATAACCGAATTACGTGTTCAATAGCGATAATAAAGGAAATAATTCCAGTCAATTTCAACGAAATAAATTGTTGTATCCAGAGAAATTAATCTTTGTATTCAGCTCGAACATTGATCTAACAATCTAATCGAAATAGAAATAAATTTTCAGAACTAAAATAAAATAATTTTAAACTATAAAAATCCCAAAACCATCTCTAATTATAAAGCCACATCAAGTATCTGGTTTCAATTGACTCACTCACTAAATTGATAGACATAAGAACTGTCAGTTGCTTTAAAAAAATTGCTATTGAGTACACGTAATTGACAATGCACGGGCATATACAGGGGGTTAAGATGCAGGTAAGGCCCCAGTCTCTCGACGGGGCTTAGGTAAACAGTAAGTAAAGTGCTTTGAATCATCCGTGTGTGCTTGGGTTGAACCTGTGTACGCCCTTAGCTAGCTTCACATCCAGCTAGAAGCACTGTGTTACCTAACACAAGTTAAGGGTTAGGCTATATACGTAAATTCAAGTGTTAGCTGTACGAATTTAGCTTATTAAATCATACATAACCACCTAAACTAATTATTCATTCTGCATTTTTCTAGATCGATGTATAAGTGTAACAACAGTGAAATCATAGATTTAAGAAACAAAAAAGTAAAAAAAAATTAATGTGATTCATAAATTTATTATACTTTACGATAACATTATAAACATGTATGTTATATAGGTATAAATACCGCTTGATGGTTTTTGTGTACTAGTGTAATATGCACGATGGCTGGTAAATGCATATACCTATTCTGTAGTTTCGTAGAGAACATTATACTACTTATACCTATTCGTAATGAAATACCCGCTGACCACCAGTCTAATGTTCGTATTACTAATTCACGACTAATGTACCGTACCGGAGTCTATCTTTTGAATCGACAATGAATTATTCCAACTCTATCGATTAACAATTGCCTGCTGCAATTTTCCTCTATCCAGTAGACAAACTGACCTCGGTCGTAACGTGAGGCCTGCGTACGAACTTGTTTTACGTTTAAAATATTCGTAACGAGACCGCCGCTTCTGCGCTCTGATTGGTTGGTTCATTTAAGCCGGCCAATGAGAGAGCTGCACGCGTACTCTCTTCGATTACTTTGAATGTAACATAAATACGTACTAAGGCCTCAGTTTCGTTCATGAGATTCGATAAAATAGCACCACTCTGTCAGCGGGTACCATAGAATCGATTCGAGATTCCATATAAATGTCAAACTATGTCATAATCGTATTAGAAAACGTAATATATAACGAAATATACATTCGTCTAATATATACTTATAATATTATATGAAATAGAGAATTTTTCGTCATTCAAGATACGCGGCTGTGTTAGAATCAACTCTTTTAATAAATTTTCGATTCCACCGTCTCGGGAAGCGTTTACAAATATGATTAAAATAGTTTTTAAGTCTCCCTGTCCCGAGTAATATTTTAAGGCCGATTTAACAATTAATTAGCAAATTAAATCTCAGTCTTGTGCAAGAAATTAACTTTGTGTCGGTCCTAAATGTGAGGCAAAATTGGTCAACCATTTTCGGAAAGGTATACTAAATTATAAGACTGTCCACTGTCTAGTTCCTTCCATCTAGAAAAGTACCATTTAGTATTCGCCCATTGTTTTCAACTAACTGAACAACGTATCAACATTAAAAGAATGAGCTTTGTAAACAAAGACGCACAATTTTATTATTATTAAGTAAATCAAGGCACTTATAAAGTTAATCTCTTGCCAATATAATATTTCATTGTTTCACGCGGTAAAAGCCTTGTCACTTGATTCTAAACTTTGAAGTAAAAAGAACAATGTATATTTTAGCTCATGACCTTGCCAAACTTGTTCCCTGACACCTGAGTTGAACTTGATCTGCGTAAACTATTATTTAACACCTACATAAAATTTGCGCTGTATTGGGAGCTAGGTAGTGACCTAATTTTGAAAGTTTTCCATCTGAAGATCCTTGTGAATCCTTAGTTGGATATAAGGTCACTTAGATTGGGTCAGGATCCGGAAATCAATAATGAAGGGGACTTTTATGCGCGGGGGAATTGAAACCTTGACGGTAGCGCCAAATACCGGAATAATTACGAACTAAAACTGGGACAAAAGTATTAATAACTTGGTAATTAGTGTGTGTCATGTATGATTTAAAAATGTCAGGTGTAAGGTGTAAGCCGCGTGTTTTGTTATAGGTTTTGGCTGAACAGAGCCTTTATTAGATATTTTGTATCGTTTTTTTTAATTAATTCTTTTGATACTATACTGCTTTGTTACATTCCATGGATTCCCGATTCGGCTGGTTCTTTTAAATATCATATATTGTAAGATTTTTGATAACTTCTAACCGGCTGTTGATTAAATATTTTTAATAAAAAAAAATACGTCTCATGATAACAGAAGAAGTGTAATATTAATTCCAAATGAACAGAAGTACACACAACAAACAAACATACGGGATGCTTAATATCTAGCAACATGTCTATGCAAGCTTCTTCACAAGAAAAAGAATCAAATAATGATTATTGTTAGATAATAACTTTGTACTACTTTTAATAAATTGTATTCTATTTAATAAGTAAACGTTTACACTATTACTATACTTATGCTTCACGAAGGTTGTCTGTATTTCAATATAAAACTGAATAGTTAGGTTATTTCAAGGTTGTAACTAGGGAATGAAATTCGAAATAAGGCTAAATACCTGCAACGATTTAGATCACATTTTTTATACAAAATGCTGTGAAAAGCTTCCAAAGACATGGTCATAAACTTCACTCATTCACTCACCTTCTGTCAGCAGTCCAGAGCTAGAACAAAAGAAAACATCAAATTAATCCACAGTCGGTTAAAAGCACTATTAAGATGAAGACTTTCATCTCAAATCATTGGTGACGTCACTGATAATACGTCATTAAATTGCCAAATTGCGTCACTGATCTGATCTTCTGACAACAGTCTAAAAAGCTGCGCCTTTTTTGTATCAAAGACTATCCAGGATTAATATTTGTGATATTCGGAATTACCCCAGCCATAAAATGCTTGTGTGGGCTCAAAATACATGAAAATTCTAGTAAAATTGTGTAGGGAAGAGAACATCACATACTGTTACTTTATTAGCTTAGCAAAACGTTAGCTTTAAATGATTTTAGGACTGTAAATGTTCCTAGGCTGTATTTTTATTGTAAATGTCTATGTTGAGTGCTGAGCGAGGACACAAGTTGGCTACAATTGAGCTCCATTTAGTTCAGAACTAACAATGTTGTCCTCAGCTCTTACACTCATCTTTGAATGCAAGATACTGTGAGAATCTTATGTATTTCTATTAAATAAAATTGTTTGTTAGTATATTTGACAAAAAGTATTTGTTTCACGCGCTTTGGAGAGTTTTTATTTAATGTAATCTTTCATAAGTCGTTATAATTAAGTGTAAATTATAAAGATTAAATTAATAGTTATGTTTAGTTGGAAACAGATGCTTGTTTGTCTGCACTGGATAGTCGTCATTGATTTTTGTGGATGATTTTAATGTGTATACTTAAAAAGGGCGAAGCTTTTGTGGAACATAATATGTTATCTTCTAGTTTGTATCCAGGCCGGCGATTATATTTCCAATGAGCCGTGTCATGAGTATAAACATGTAATTGTAGTTACTAATCATAAATATTTACAACCACAAGTAATAATAATAATGGTTATTCTAAATAATTCGTTATTATTATTATTTAAGTGTCTTCGTTTCCTTTCTGATGTATGTATTGTAGGCACCCCTAATGGGGACAAATGACGTAGCATACACGTTTTATATTATTAAATTTTTCTTATATGTGGAATAAATGTGGTTTCATTGAACACTAAGTTAAGACTGTGTAAGTGGCGCCTCGCTAATGGAAACTAATATTTTGATTTTTATCATTTTATCACTTCAAGCACAACAAAGGACATGAAGAAATAATGCTCTAAATAATTACTTGATGAAGTAACGATTACGTTGATTACAGTCAAAACGCCATTTTTTTCTTCCGTGTAAGGTCCGATAATACACGGGAGAGTCACAAGTCCGAACACAAACTGTTTATCACAACACTGCAGTTGTTACGAACACGTTTATCAGTCACAACACACACAACACACTGATATTGTTCACATTCAGCTATAAATCACAGGAACAACTCGGGCTGTTCTATTAATAGCACGACCCGCACGTTATTGATTTTGTAAAATGCACTACTATCCTGTACTGTTTACTTAATTTTTCCGACAAAATTAACTGGGTATTCGGACCCTGGGCCACGGAGCTGGGTTCCCGACGACTAGCCGCGGTGATTAATCAATGTATTTAATTTAATCACGATTGCGCGACGGACCACTGACCGAGTGATGCCAGAAAAATTAATTTACTTGTAACAGCGGCTTGAAGTAGTTAATATTCCAATGCCTTGAAGTTATTCCCAAATGTCAATGTTTGGGATGTGCATAGTGCGGCGCACCTCACTGGCCGGCGATGGCAGTAAATCTGATTCTGAGCGATAGTATGCCCGGTACAGTCGCGCACTGCACCAATAACATAAGTTACAAAATATTATTTTCGTAACACTCCAAATGGTTTTCTATGATGGTGTATCTTGTAAAATGGTTTTTTAATAACATTTAAATTATAAAAATATTAAAAATAAAATGCACTTTTTTGATTTTTGCTCAGGAGAAACTTTTTATTGGCCTGATTACAGAAAATAAATACATTCGACTTTTTAAGCACTTTTATAATTTTTAATTGTAAAAAAACTAAATTACTAGTAGTTATGACTAAAATTATTACCCTACCTATCGAATCAAATGATTTCGGGATATTTAGTGAAGAAAAAGATAGAAAAACGAACCTGTTGCTGAACGGCGTCAGCTGCAGTCGGGAGCGGAAAGCTGCAATCGTAAGTAGAAGCACAATAATAAATATTATGAGATGCGTAAGTATTGAACATGAAAAAATTGAATATAGAAATACGTTTTAGAAAATACAGGACTAAAACTGACAAAACAAAATCCAAACAAAGGCATTGTTTGAATTTTATTTTTTTCATATGATGTTGATGATGATAATGAAAAAAAAGTTGTTGAAAATATAAATAAAGTGAAATAACTTTTTAAAACAATAGCCAAATCCGTTACAAATAGTAAACAACTGATGTAACAATTGCAAGTCTACTGCACATTAATGCACAATTTGCATAATAGAAGTGTGTCTATTACATAGAATTTTAAAAATCGAAAAATATACAAAAATAGATTATATAGGTACCTGAAAAAACAAACTGGTAATGAGATCACGGTAATATCAAAAGTAAAGTGCAAGAAATTGCATGAGTATGAAAAATGAAATGAATACAGAAATAAAAATAAAACAAGACATTTAGATTAAAAAGACAAGTCTAAAAATTAACAATATAAAATCTAACGACGCGACATTACCCCTGTAACCTAGACGGACATAGATGCAATTATGCAATTCTAAATCTATGTCAAAATATCAAAATAATACTATACCCAACCTAAAAATACACAGCATTACTCAATTACGACACTGGATCGAAAAAACCAAAAGAAAAAAATTTTGACAAGCGATCACGTGATAAAATGTAAACAACAGATCGTAAAATGCAGCATGATAAGGAATTAGCCTCTCAAAGTGAAATACAACCTTATCGTCCCGCTGCCTTCATTTTTTACATAGCCACACTGAGCTTTCAAGCTTTAAAACTATAAAAATACTGAAAAAAACCCAAAAAAGTCTAAAAAACGGGAAAATATTAAATCAGTGATTGATTTTTTTTACTTGATGTCGATAAAATATAACTTTCAGTAGAAGGGTTGTTATCGACCATGAACGGCTGAAGCGACCTGAAGTTAGCTGTAATACCCTGTTATCGTTTCATCATAAGCGGAAATCGACAAATCATCTTTGACGTTTCAGCACTAGAGGTCCCGTTATGTCAAACGTCCCTGACATAAATATCAAATTGGCGTGTACTGTCAAAATACTAAATCAAAGTAAACATTCGACATTGGGATGATTTGTGAACCTTTTCTAGTGTTTAGAACATTGTAAAAGTTGGTTTTAAAGGTTTCCATGTGTGTATTATGAAGTAGATTCATACATTTGTGATCTTTTTTGTGTTACAACTAGTTTTTCAGTGTTTATGTAAATATATTGGTCTGAAACTTGGGGAGGCGCTGAACTCATCTCATTTACATAACATTTAAGTCAAGGTCTCGAAAACTGGCACGTATCCAAAGCTTGGAAGTTCGCTACGATCGCGTAGTACTACGGCGTAGTAGTGCTACGCCGTAGCCGTCGCGTAGAATACAATATTAGATCCTCCGCTCATTGATGTCTATTCATTGATACATTGTTCCTTATTTTTGGACAAATATTTTCTGATGGCATTTTTAACTATTTAGTTTAGTAAGAATGCGTAAATATTTGTTACATGATACCTCAAAAAGGTTTTGTACGGCTTCTAAAAATTACATTATACTTAAGTTCCTTTCATTTCCCAAAATGGTGGCCAAGGGTGCACATATTGAATGTGCCAGAGATTAGTATACACTCACTAAGTCCCTCATACGATTCCCTATGACAATTTTACCATGAATGATTACAATTTTAATTTTATAAATATATTTCATTTCATAATTGATGTTTGTGACTTAAAGTCCAACTTATGTTATAACATCATGCCTTTTAATTCCTAAAGAGGTAGCCAAAGGTGCACAGACACACATAATGTAACATTTTTATTTTTACCAGTGATGTAATGAATTCCATGTTACTTGGGGTGTATCTGTTACCATAAACTGGGTACTATTAAAAAGTCCGTGTTATGATTTTGTTTAAATAGTCAATGAAGCTTTGTTTGGCGTGTGAATATTGAACTTATGTGGGGTATCATAATCCCATGCGCATGCTTTCAATCCCATATTAATAATATTATTATGGTAACTAGAGTAAATGATTAATTTCTATTTTAATGTCCGTCTGGTAGATTATTTTAAAACATTACACATGTATTTTTATTTTTTTCCACATCAATCATCAACAGTCTATAAGTGGCCGCTGCTAACCAAAACTTCTTTTCGCACGGTGGAGGTTTTCATTAATCACCACGCTTATAAATTACTTCTTAGCAGACATTGGATTATATGTATTATTAAAATGCCAAAACATGCTTGCAAATGTGCACTAAAATAGGGCGAAATGTGAACACAATATGCACAATAAAAATATATGTAATTAGAATTTACGTTTATTGTTAGCACATTATAGTTAATAAATATTCAAATATATTAGTAATAATCAACCCATTTATTAATATTCTTGTGGCAGT